CTTATAACCAGGAGAGACGCAATATTTACGTGGTCGCTATTGAAAATAAAGACGACGGAAAAGAAAAGATCAAAAATGAACTGGCTGTATTTAAAAGTTCCTTGCTTGAAAAAGGAATGAAAAAGGTTTATGATAATAATTCTCCTCTCTCTCTCTCTTTCTCTCTCTCTCTCTCTCAATATCAACAAAAGAGAACATGCATTGTTTTTTTTTTTTTTGTTTTTTTTTTTTTACAAAATTCCTTTCTTTTTAATCATCAAAATAACTTTTTTCCCTAGGTAGTTGTCAAAGTAGGCGTACATGCTTCACGAAGAGTGACCTACCATTCTGCCCATGACCAAGCTGGCGTCTACAGCGCCATGTGTCAAGGTCTACATGTTCTGGAAGAGGGGGAGAGCATCATTGTGGAGGTATTTTGTGAGACCTTTAAACAATTACCAGTCCCTCATCTTGACTACGAGGAACAGGCAGGTACGTTTCGGTATTAGAAACAGCAAAATTTTATCGTTTCTAAAACTATCTGTTTCTAAAACTATGCATAATCAGTTAATATTATGGTTGCGCTAAACTATATTATATCACGTACATGATGTTACTCATAACGGGATCACACAACAGCTTAATTAGCATTGTTTTTTCTCCTTATAAATTTATGAAACAAATACTATAAGTGCACATTATTCATTTTTAGTCGGCATCAAAAGCAAGGAGTTGTCCTGTACAATCCGAGCTGTCGTCTGCGGCACTCCCAACGGGAATCAGCTGGTTTCAGACGTCGTCTGTGGCGTTGGTCACTCGGACAGAACGCTTCATTGTGACAACACTTTACCAGTGTCACTGGAAAGCTTTCTAGTTCAGTGGGGATTGCAGGACAGATCCAAAATTGAAAATGTTCGTCTATGAAGCAATATATTCTAATTGGAAACTTTTGTCGTTTCTAGTTCACTTATGTCAATGCGGGATGTTTATTAGTTAGATCAATTGTTTCCAGTGTTTTTGTCAATTTTCACAGAAAATTGCGGTTGTCGTTGGAGTATCATATTTATGCCCCCCCTCCCCCCCCCAAAAAAAAATCTCTGAAGATATTAATTAGCTATCATATATGTGATTTACAGATCCGTTCAATGATCAAGAAAAAGGCGGAGGACATTTGGATGAAGCACGAGGAGAGTATGAACAAAGAGAAACGCGGACGTTTTTTGTCAGATACAGGCATAATAGGTAAATCAGGGATTAAGTTACGTTAAACAACATCATGTACATGGCTATATATATATATATATATATATATATATATATACGAAAACGAAAATTCAACACAATCCTCTCGCTTTGACTTGATTGCAAATTGGTAAAATATCTTTTTATATATTTCAGGTGTCAATTTTGTCTTGACACAGCAAGAAGACAGCAGTTATGACGCCGTGGTTGTAAGCATCAATAACGGCAGGAAAACCATCGCGAACACGCAGATCTACGAGTTTCAAAACCCGACCAAGCTTGGAAGTTGCGTCCGACCTCTGGTGGCAACCATGGTCAATCGTAGTCAGCGGTTCCTTCTTCGAGGAAAGCAAATCCTTCTAATTGGCGGAGGGGAAGAAGTAAGCAAAAAGTGTGTTTGGGAAGCTGCCGAGAATTACTTTGTGAAGGTAAATGTTTTCAACAAGCGGTGTACACATTTATTTTATTTTATTTTATGTACTTACTTATTGATTAATTTATTGGTTAATCCAAAAATTATATCCATTTTAAGTGATTTGTTCAATTTACTGAATATGTATCTCTTTTGGTATACATTCTCCGTTTAAATTTATCAGATGTAATTGTTTGGCTTTTAGGGAAGTGTCAAGGCATTCATTAAACGGATATTTATGTGCATGTTTCTTACACATTTTAGATCATTTTGATTGACCCTGATCCTAATCACAGTGCGGCCAAAAGTGTATACAAGTTTATCCAATGTGACATAGAAGACGTGAGTCATGACGATGAAATTACCAAGAGAGTTGACCAAATAATTCGCACTCAAGGCCTGGTCGTAGACGGATGCATGACCGTTGTTGATGAATACGTTCCTCTGACGGCTCTGGTGTGCGAGGCACTGCGCCTGCCTGGTAATACGCCTGAAGCTTCAAGAAAGACTAAGAAGAAAAGCCTTACTCAAAAAGTTTTAGTGGAATCTACAGTCAGGAGCTCTCCTCTGCCAAACGCAAATGTTTATGCAGTCATTACACACGATATTATCCAACCTGAAGATGTGAAGGGATCGTCAAACATTATTCAGTATCCGGCACTGTTGAAGCCAGAATACGGGTCAGGTTCTCTTGGAGTAAGCCTTGTCAAAGACGAGACAGAATGCCTGAAGTCCTTCAACGCAGTTCAGAAAATCTTAAAAGCTGAGGACGCAAATGCGTTAGTAAATTGTTACGGCAACGAAATACACCTAGCCGAGTATGCACGGGGAACCAAGCATGGAGTCGATATCGTCATGTTTCGAGGGAAGATTTTAGCGGCATTCATCTCTGATTGTGGACCTACTCGCCTTCCGCTTTTTATCGAGACTTCATCGTGTATGCCGTCATGTTTACCACTTGACAAGCAACGACAGTTGGTAACGGCCACACACCAGTGTGTTAGAGCAGTTGGTCTCACTGATGGTGTGTATAATATTGAGTTTAAAATGACACCCATGGGGCCAAAACTGATTGAGATCAACGGTAGAATGACTGGATACCATTACCGGAACTGGATACTAGCCGTCTTTGATACGGATATCCTTTTCCTAAATTTCTTAATTGCATGTGGGATACAACCCAGCGTCCGGCCATTGGAGCCAATGTGTCAGCTCATGGAGGTCATGTGTACCACAACAGCCCACGCCGAGGCACTATCGCGGCCGGGCATTGCTACAGCGGAGATCCTTGCCGAGGCTCACGAAGAAGGAGAAATAATTTTCTTTCCAATAGAGCCCAACTTGGAGGAAAATGAACCATTTGAGAAGCCATTACTTCATGTAGCTGTTGAGGGGAAATCTGTAGATGAAGCGAAGAAAAAGCTGTTGGCTGTTTGCAGGAAATATGGGATAGAAAACCAACAGTATCCAGTAGAGCGCTTTCTGTCCCCTTTCGTGGAGTTATCTTGGCCATGAAAGGCGAGGACGCAGCTGTGGGGAACACAGGGCGTGTTGTTGTGAAAAATTTCGTATCATGAATGTATTAAGAGGCGTCCGTTATTACAAGACACCCGAATGCAAAATAACTAAGGCTTTCTTATGCCTATCAGTAAGTTGATATTTTCATATTCAGTTTCACACACACACACACACACACACACACACACACACATGACAAACATGCAGTGATGGAAATCCCTGCACTTGGGCATTGATTTCCTTTTAAAATCTTTTTCCTCTTAAAACTATTATTAAGCCTCTCCAATGTTTCTTTCTTTCATTCCCATTACATTGCCATCTCTTTATTTTAATTATTGTAAACATTTTGAAAAAGGGTGCACCATAAACATTACTCAGTGTATATATGGTTTAATGAATAGTGTATGTTGTTTTCGTGGAGTTGTCCTAGCAGTATATATGATGATGGTGTAGCTGTCAAGAAAACGGTGTAGTACCGATAACTACATGTATTAAACCGAAGATCTCCCCATGTTGATTGTGAGGAAGCACGTTATAGACTAAAGTTTCGAACTATTTTGTTTGTCTTTAGCTTTAAAGTAGATAAGCATATTATAAAGTAGGTGGCTTATCTCTGATGGAGTTCTTGACAGTTTTAAATTGTAACAGGCATCTTTGCTGCTACTTTAAATTTAACGAGGATTGTCAGCTACGAGTACAAGTGTGTGTGTGTGTGTGTGTGTGTGTGTGTGTGTACGAGTACGTGGAAGGATATAGACGTGTTTGTATATGCACTTAGTGGCGGATTGAGGCCGTCTTCCGGGTCTTCTTTTCAAGTTTACATTGACGGATATCTGATTTTTTTTCTGTCGGAAGACAGAAATGGAGAATGGATCAACAAAGATAATTTGGACTGTCAGAAAATATCGCTGGAGCCGCCTAAGTCTTGTACACGAAAGCTTGAGCGCGTGTAAGTAGGCATATGTATATGCAGATATTGTGTGTATATATTTTTTCTTATACTAAATTTGCTGGAATGACAAAAATGAACTTAAGAAACATATATATTTTTGTCTTTGTCTTGAAACAAATTACAACAATAATTTCGAAAATACTATTTAGAATATTGTGAATGATATTACTAATGAACAAAAAAGTACAATTAATAAAAATCAGGCGTATTTTATCCGCACCATGGAAATGAACCACAGCATAACGCACCGCTCATACCCTTCATTTCAGACGTCTATCTCAACGTAGTCTGACTAGGTGAAGAATTTTTTATTGCATAATTACAAAGCTCAAGTCCTTAACTTTTCAAAAATTGCCTTATTTCATTCAAATAAAGTGCTGTGTTAGGCGAAAATTACCAATCGGTGAGTGTTACATTTGGACCTTAATTTTGTTTCCTCTTTCATGGGCAAAGTTCGTTACTACAGCAACGTGATTGACATTTTAGTTATGCACTGTCCGAAAGGTTTTGGTATGGACCCTTAGATAAAAGGAAGAGTTAAAGCTGAAATGTAAAACCCTTCATGGGGTTTTCAAACAACTTTCACGTCTTTCGTTACAATATTTTGTGTAGTCAGGACCCCCAAATTTCAGATGTCAATATCTATTTTTTTTCAAAAATTTTCAGATTTTTTGAAGGTGTGATTTCACCATTCTTTGTTATAGTTATCAAACACACACACACAAAAAAAATATTGGTTGAATCTGTCAACCCTCACCCACCTTGCCACATTTTGACTGATTTGGTTGTCTTCTCGTGAAATGGCACTTAAAGTTCTAATATTTAATATTACTCTTCAGAAAGAACCAAAACGTGACTTGAACTGATTTCATAATATCATACTTGTCACATGTGGTAATGCAATTTTTTTTTATTTTGCAGAGTCCCATAATACAGAGCAGTGCATTACAATACAGTCATTTTTGTTTGATATTTGTTCGATGCAGCTGCTTCAGTTACTTAATTGCACAAGAATCGCACAAGATAAAACTCATTTTAGAGTCTTTGACTGCCAGTCAGATAAGATAAACTATCGTCTTAAACAATTATAAATGATAAGTATTGGATAATTAAAGACATTTATAAAGAAGATGTATGCCAGGAATAATAGTTCAAATTTTGGTGAATAAAACGAATATTTTGATTCATCCTTTCACAGTTGTCATGTCACAATCGGCTGACTGAATCAGATTTTGCTAGATGTGTCTCAGGGCCGGTGGCGAAGCAATTATAATGGAGGGTGGCAGCCGTTTTAAGTCTACAGCATACATGGTATTATATAATTTGGATCATCTTGGATCTCTAAGACGTTTAATGACTGAGAGATTGAGAAAATCTTACATTTTATAAAGAACTCATCAAAAATATGTTCTAGGAGCATAATGACTATCCTCTTAAAGACACATCATCAGACTATGCTGTATGTTCAGCCGGTGAATTCATTTTGTTCAATCCACTCAATTAAAATGCCAATCAGAAGCTGTTTGTAATTAAAATCCAGTTACTTTTGTACTAGCACCATTGAGCTGTTTTTCAAAGAGCTAAACTATTTAATCCAGCCTAACCTGAACATTTTTTTTTTTGTTTTTGAAAAAAATATTGTCACTATCAAATACACGGTACCGGTATATTCCATATCATCATTTTGAATCCTACAGACACCCTTCCCTAATCTATCGATTGCCTTTATTCTTATAGCAAATGTCATGCTTCCTCCAACGAAAATTCTTCAACTTGTACTGGTACAGTAAGTCTATTCAAACGCGTCACTTCCCTCTTTGCCAACTTTTCGTTTTCCGTCGATGCTCTGTCTTCACCAGCCATCCTGTAAAGCTTTGCCAATTCCTTGTAAACTGTGAACGGCATTTTAGACCTTGGCCATTGCTCATGAACCTGTGGAGTTAAATTGGCAGCTTCTTGCAAGTTGGACAGACTTTGTTGATATAAATTTCGACATTGGTCACAGCGTAGAACTCCTTGGCGTGGTCTACCAGTCGCCTTGGGCATGGTGTTCTGTTCATCCGTCGACAAAATACCAGCAAGGCGTCCAAACACTTGTTCACACCCATTGCTGTTATTTTCAGCAACCGCTGTTCGTCCATTTGGTGCCACGTTTTCTTGGTCAACTCGTTGAGCCACTGCCTCGTATATTTGCTCAGCCTGTGCCTGTCCTAAATGAAGCAGGTGTTCAACCAATGTGAAATGATTAGGTGTATGTTCTCTCCGGGTATCAACAGCTTTCTGAAAGTAACCCTCAGCTTTAAGAAACTCCTTGTTCATCATACAAACATGTCCAAAATTATCATAAATGAGAGCTATATCTGTCGTCTTCCCAATTTTCTGACACATAGCTAACGCCTCCTGCAGCATAGGCAAAGCTCTCTCAGTATCTCCTTTTTTGACGTAAAGCATCGCTGTATTACTTAGAGAGTCAACCACGGCTAAATTGGGTTGCTTCATAAATTTTCGTTTGTATTTCAGACCAAGTTCAAAATTCTTCAGTGCTCGGTCATCATCTCCCTGCTCAAGATATGTCAATCCCATATTGTTGTAGATACTCCCGATGGAAGGATGTTCTCCAAAGTTGGACACCCGTAACTTTAAAGAGTGCATAAAATAACGTATGGCCTCCTCTAGCTTTCCTGAAATTATCATTCTTATATTAAAAAAGGGTGATTTCACTCCTTCTCTAGCTAATAAAATACAAAAATCTAGATGATAAACACATATATTGCTACACGGGCTGGACGGCTTACTAGTACAAACTAAAATCTATCCCCATATACAGCTCCATTTCTTGAATAAGAAAAATTTGATGCTTTCTTTTCCTGTTTATTTCTTTTTATTTAATCAAAGCGATGATAATTATATGACGTGATGATTTCACTCACCCATCCCTGTTGAGACAAGCCCCAAGATCGAGAGTGTTTGGCACATAACAACGTTTGTGTGCATACCCCCCTCCTCTTCCAGTTTGTATGCCTCCTGAAGATACCTGTGAATAAAACGCCATCTATATTAAAGGAAACACATAACTGATGCTACAAAAGCACTCAGAGGGCGTAAACCTCCGCCACGGAAACTGGTAGATAACAACAGAGAAGCATATTCGTTTTTTAAGGAAACTTCGGTTGTGATCACCTTTACAGCATCACGTTCATTTTATTCAGAATCAAAATTTCTACACGCTACACGGTCTGCACTGCGTTTCTTGTTTTTGTGTTTTTTTTTCAGAATCTTAAAAGAAAGTATGAACAATTGACATTGCATTACCTAGAACAACTTTTGAGAGATATTTATGTCTAAAAACTACAAGCAGCAAGTATATTCGGTTTTGAAGGAAACGTCTGTTGTTTGTACCTTTTCAACCCAATGTGATACTTCTTACGGCACAAATGTGGTCGTCATATATGATCGTTCTAAATTGATAATTCTGATGCAAGAGGTCAGACCAGAGCATACGCATAACGTGTGTGGCGTGTACCATAAAATAGATCAAAGTATTTTTATTACAATTTACGTAGCTTCGAGCAAAAGCGTTTCGCTGGTTACCCGTATAAACAAAAGTAAACTTTCATCTTAAAATCTTCAAAGAAAAACGTACTGTTGTGACTTATTCAGGTCGCCAGTCTTGTAGTAATTCCAACCAAGATGCTGATACAGAGAGGCCATGTCTACAGGAGTACCCTTGGCGGAAAGAATGAACCTCGCCTTCTCATAATAAGCTATGCCTTTTCGTATATCACCCTGAAATATTACACAGTCAAAACATCGATATTAGTTGGTTGTGATCATATTTAATACTAAAATCAGTTTAACACAACGCTAGAGGACTCACGATTGAATATGGTTGCAACTGAGTGAAAGGGATAAATATACAAAAAACAAATCAACAATAAAAAAACAAACAAACAAACAAACAAACAAACAAATGGCACTGATATAAATTTATACATACAAATACAATTCATTGCCGAAGCAAATGTTATAACATTACATAAAATAAG